AAACTTATGTAGCTTTTTTGTCATGAACGAATTTGACTAATATTTAAGCCGTTCAATCAATGTTTTGGCTATTCTTCTTCTTCTTTGGCTTTATTATGTCCCTACTGAGACCTTACGCCGGCTCTCATCTAGGAGTTCTTTGAGCACTTCCTCAGTTGTTAATTGAGAGCTGTGAATTGACCCCAGGCGCCTCCAGCATGGTGTTGTTTTATAACTGCGTCTTTTCTGACTGAGCTAAGGTTTGTTTTGACTATAAATTTCAACGAATTTGGTTCATTTTACTTCACGAAACAGAAGTTTTAAAGCGAACACTCCAATAAGATGCGTTCCACTAAAATGCCAAATGGCTCAAAACCATACCGATAAATTTTGTACAATTCTAGAGCAACATGTGAAAAGGGCTTATGGGCCAAATGCAAACAATGACTATAAACGTTGATTTCTCGCGAATAAGGACTCCTTCACTGATCGATTCTCTTCATCGACTCTCTCTTTCGTTAATAATTTTGCTGTATTCATATTTCGGGCTAATTTGTCTACATAGTCTGTTAAAAGAAAGTATTATTAAGCGTATTGGACGATAAGAACAACTGAACATGTTTTTGGAGCCGAGTTATTAACGAAAGAGAACGTCGATGAAAAGAATCAATCATTGTAGATTGGTCTATTTGATGAAAGGTGACGGGAGATTTCTGCTATGAGACTGACTTGCCATCAGCGGCAGTGAAGGAGACCTTTGGTGACGCAAGAAATCAGCAAGCGGCGAGAAAAACGCGTTTAAATTTGTTTCGTATCGTTGCTTCTTAGGGGCTGTTCATAAACTACGTAGACCGAGGCTCCCTTCTCCGCGTAGACGATCGTCCATGGATTTTTTTGAAAATTTGTATGTACCGTAGACACTCGCCAACCCACAACCTCCTCAAGTGTCTACGTGGTTTTTGAACAGCCCCTTATGTAAACAGATCATAAACAATCAAACAGTTCAAAGTTGCATGGTTTCATGCAGTGGCGTCGCCCTAACCTCAATCTACCTGCATGCTTGGCATACACAGTTGTACACACCAACTGCTCATTTGTTAATAACTTTACCCATAGTTGACGAAAAATTGTTCTTTTTGAAGCTGTAGATAGAATAGAGTTTAAGCTTGTTATAGATACATAAATTAAAGTAGATTTTAATTCTAGTAATAAACTGTATTTGTTTTTGCGTTGTAAAAATGAAGTGAGAAATTCTCGCTGCACATCTCGGACTTTAATAGTAAACATTCATTGGTGTTGATTTGAATGTTAAGATTTATCTACTTTTTGCCTATCTATAGTAAGCTATGATCCTTATCTATCAATTACTTCAAAGAAAAACAAATTTCAACAACTGAGTAAAAAGTTATTAACAAATGAGCAGTTGGTGTGTACAACTGTGTATGCCAAGACCTGTTCAACAACTCTCTCAGCACGTAAACAAATAAAAACATATTGCTTCCAATAGATACAAATCAGTGAAACTAGACGATCTTGCACCTTTTGAAACTGATTTGAAGGTAAACATTACCCTAATAACGTTTCCAAAGTTGTTGAACAGGTAAAAAGTGAGGTTACGCGACGCCACTGGTTTCAAGTAAGTTGTTGACCTTAACAAGGTTCAATTGCATTTTCGAAAAATTCCTAGTTTGTGAAAAAAAAAATAGAATTACGCGAGCTTTTTGCAATCTGAAATAATGCGTCGAAAAAAACTGCATTTGTTTTTTTTTTTAAATGCGTCAAAGTAAATTGAAACTTTTAGGCACTAAGTTACGGGGCGAGACACTTGTTGGTTGTGGGATCGTTATCTAGCTTCTCAGGCGCTTCGTGGAATATCATAGATGAGACGAATATCTCCGATTGTTGTTGCAGCTTTCTTCCTTTTAGGGCCCATGCATTAATTATGTCACGCTAAATCGAGGAGAAATTTACCCCCCCTATCGTGACGTTTTTCCTGTACCTAATGCATTGCTTGTCACAAAATCTTAGACGCGGTTCCAATCGAGCAATGTAAATAAACACGAGCGCTTCACGAAGAAAAGCGTGGGAAGTATTGAGATTGGTGATGAATTTAATTGTTGAGGTTGGTTGTTTTTATTAAGGAGATTTTCAGCCAGACGCTGGTTAACTGTTGAGATTTAAATAATTATAATTAAGTTTGCATATGAAAAGTGAAATTGGACAGGCAATATTATTGTTATTCATCAGCTGTATTCTCGTTTTATTCTCACCAAATATTTGCTCCAGCACAACGAGATACATCTACATAGGCTCTGTTACAAAGATCGGTGTAATTTTTCAAGATAGTAAAATTTGTGAATGACTTCAAAAGAGAGATGTCACTCATACATGATAAGAAGCAACAATTGCAGATCAAATAATTTTGTGCAACGCTCTGTAGAATATACCCCCCAATGTGTGGTATATTTGGTTTCACTCAGAGTTGTCAAAAATTGAGTCTTCAAATACTTCCATTGAATTGCAATACTACCGATACGGTAAAAATTTTTCATTTTACCGTAATCTCGACCGTAATAGACGAGTGCACGGATGGATTTGAGTTCACTCACTCAGTTTACTAAAAATGACCTTACCTTACCAATCAGGCTAAGGCCTTGTTGTCCTCTGCTGTCCGAAGAAGTCGTCTCCACTCTACTCGATCCATGGCCACAGTTCGCCAGCCTCGTAGTCTGCGAAGGGTCCGCAGGTCACCTTCTACTTGGTCGATCCACCTTGCCCGCTGCGCGCCTCTTCTTCTTGTTCCTGTTGGGTCGCTTTCTAGAACCATTTTCACTGGGTCGTCGTGCGGCATTCTTACGACGTGCCCAGCCCACCGTAGTCGCTTAATTTTTGCAATGTGGACGATGGATGGTTCTCCCAGCAGCTGGTGCAATTCGTGGTTCATTCGCCTCCTCCACGTTCCGTCATCCATCTGCACTCCACCGTAGTTGGTCCTCCACGAGCATAGTCCAGGTCTCGTGGCCGTAAAGGACCACCGGTCTAATCAGCGTCTTGTAGACAGTCAACTTCGTGCGGCGGCGAATTTTATTCGACCGGAGCGTCCTCCGGAGTCCAAAGTTGGCACGATTCCCTGCCATAATGCGTCTTTGAATTTCTCTGCTGGTATCATTTTCGGCGGTCACCAGTGAGCCCAAATACACGAACTCATCGACCACCTCGATTTCGTCACCGTCAATCTGAACTCGGGGTGGGAGGCTAACATTGTCTTCCCTAGAACCTCTTGCTTTCATGTATTTTGTCTTTGATGCGTTGATGGCAAGTCCAATCCGTCTAGCTTCAGCCTTCAGTCTGATGTACGTTTCCGCTATCATCTCAAAGTTCCGTGCCATAATGTCAATGTCATAGGGCCTTTGTAGATAGGGCCTTTTAAAATGTTACGCGAGCATTTTCAAGTGTTTATTTTTAGATGAACTAAAGTTCACCCCCGTGCACAGGTCTATGTTGAAGCAGACGACAGTCGCTCAAATCAAAAGTCACTTGAAGTAAACACAAAACTGCGGCTTGCTAAATCTTGCAGAAAAAGAAATTAGTTGGCCGTGCAACCAGATTTACTTTTATTCTCTCCGCGCGTCTCTTATATAGCATCGTCTCTGAACAAGCCTACGTCAGACAAAAAAGGAAGGCTAGTGTTAAATAGAGGTAAAATTGGGCAATACCAAACTTAAAATTTATAATGGCGTGGCCAAACAGGGTTGACTTGTGAGGGAAGCCCATTTAGCATAAAGACGTTCGGCATAATTTTAATTGGAATACACACTTATAAATGTGTACCAAACTTTCAGCAGCTGAACGTTCGGTTAAACTTTAACCCTCATTTCAAAAGCTGTTTCATTAAATTTTAATTTCGAAACACTGTCAGCGTTGTTTAAACAATCGAGCCTGGCCATTGTGGTGAAGTATTCCTTGTTTTGAAGTCTTTAAACTAATAAATTTAAATTCCTGCTCTTTATTGAACAGTTCAGCTGTTGAAAGTTCGGTAAAAATTACAAGTATCGAGTGTCCGGTAATCACTTCTTAGTGTGTAAACTCATTTGGCATAATCTCCGAAAAACATCACAATGAAATACTTTGACCATTTAGCATAAAGTCGTTTGGCCAAATGTCAGTTGACTAAAACTCATTTGGCATAATCTCCGAAAATTATCAAAATTAAATACTGAGTCGTTTGGTATAATTGCCATTTGGCATAAATGAGCCTTGGAATAATCGAGTGTTAACAGTCCATACAAATTTTCAACGATTTATGTGGATGATTGTCTGCGTAGGGAAAGGAGAGTGAGTATCAAAACGGCGTTCGAAAAGTGAGATTTTCACAGATTCAATGTGAAAATTTTGTGTGCAATGATGTCATTGGGTTCTTTTTTTTTTCATCTGCAAATATCACTTTTTAGAGTGTCAACTCAGCGAGTATGAATTGAAAACAAATTTAACTTTGTCAATACCTAAACGTATTTTTACGTACTTTGCTGTCCAACTACCAAATCTTTCTATCCCCACCAGCTGCAACAGCGTTGTCAGGATAGATCTAGATTGTTGGAGGTTGCATCATTTCTATGTAAGGGTGATTCAAGTTTCCGACAATATTTAGAGACCATGCCTTATCCTAGGCACGGAATCCAACCAACAATAATCGACTTTCCGAATACTCATAGTTCTCGGAGTTGTCCTGGGTGCTAAATATAACCGACATTATATTATTTTTTTCTTCTAGAACCATGAGAAAATATGGTCTTGAACAATCTTAAATTTATTACTCAATATTCTTAAAATCGCTGGTAAGGTCATTCCAAAACTGCTCAACAATGTGATTAATTGAAGTGCTACATGATTTATTTTGAATCATACTCATCATCAGCTTGCTTGACCGATCTTAACACCCTGAATGGAATTATTCCCTATATACATATTCCAAATTATCCAACCAACTCTAAACATAGCTTCCAATTTCGTCTCTTCTCCAGGAGTTCGCCTGCTTGCGACAAAACTCGTCGAACAGTGGCTCAAGATAGCACGTAACGACATTCGCTCCGGCAATCAACAGCAATCGCAACAATCGTCTCAACAGTCCAGCCCAGCCCAGCAGTCCGGTAGCAGCAGTTCGGATGACAAATCGCGTAACCCGGAGGACACCATGTCGGAAGAAAATAAAGATGTCGATGAGTCATCGCATGAGGAGGAGGAGGAGGTTCTGGACGAGACGACGGTGATCGAAAACGGAGACGACGCTCTGGATGCCGTAGCAATAGAGGCCGCCGATGCGGAACCTACGGAAGATGGTGTCATGGATGAGACGGCAGAGGGAAAGAACGACGAAGGAGAAGAAGATGTCGAAGAGGCAAAGAAAGCTTTCAACGCTGCAGTGGCGGATGGCAATAGCAAGAAGTCTCCGTTGTTGTTTAAAATTACGATGAAAAATGGTAAACAAGTGTTGGCAAAGGTCGAATCACCGACAAAGAAAGGTGACGCTTCTTTGGGGGATGACGAAGAGGAGAAACCGAATGTAGAAGAAGACGGCATTAAAGATGAAGTGAAAGAGGAAGACCAAGATCAAACATTGACTGAGGAGGGCGATCCGGAGGTTGAAGAAACTGACTCGAAGGAAAAGTTGAATAAAAGTGTGTCTGACAATGGAGATAAGGACGAGAAAAAAGATAAAAGTGAAGTGGAAAAGGAAAAAGACAAAGATCGAAGGAAAAGTGTTGAAAAGGATCGAAGCAAAGAGTCCAAAGAAAAAATCTCTTCTAAGGATAAAGATAAGCATCGGGATAAGAAATCTAGCAGCAGCGGTCATAGATCCTCCTCATCCAAGTCATCTTCGTCGTCGTCGAAGCATAACAGCAGCACGAGTAGCAACAGCAGCAAAAGCAAATCCACCAGCTCGAGTTCGACTGGCAAGAGTTCTAGTTCTAGCTCCAAAGACAAGGATAAGGAGAAAGATCGTAACAGTAGTAGCAGCAAGCAACATCACAAACACTCATCCTCGTCGAAAACATCTAGCAGGAGCAGCAGCAGCAGTAGTTCAAATGACAAGCACCGCGAGCACAAAGACAAGGAAAAGTCTAGCCATTCAAGCAAGGACAAAGAAGGTCATCCGAAGATATCCTCCCCGGCCAGTAGTAGTAAGTTGGACAAAAATCCTAAAAAATCTAGAGATGGAGCCGATGAGAAGTCAGATTCATCGGCGGACAACAGCAGACCGTCACCAGCGAATAGTAACAAGAAAGCGTCGATTTCGATTGAAGTGCGCAACTCCGAGCATCGTCCGAAAACGGTCAAGACGTTCAACTCTCAATTCCGCTCGCACGGTTTGATTGAGGAAGCGCCTCCGCCGCCATCGCGTAAGGGTCTGAAGAAGCCATTGACGACGACAACGTTGGGGGTTGTGGGATCAACTGCTACCGGAACCGTCCACACCAAACGGCCATCACCGCCGCCTTCATCCAAAGAAGGACCCCCGGAGAAGAAAGCCCGCGAAGATCCCGCCGAGCGACCGGGTGCAATTAAGCTGATTCCACCGAAAAGGCAGCGTAAGTATCTGGGGAACCACCTAGCTATTGATGGGAGTTTTTTGAGTATCGTTTCAGATCACGGCGGTTGGAAGTGTGCAATTTCGATGGTAGCATCGTCGGCGGCATAGCGAAAGGTGGTGCGAAATGAAGGGGGAGGGGTGTGACCGCATCGTGATTATGATTTGTGTTAGTTGTTGTGCGACATGTAGATATCAACTTGTCATTGATAGTTGTAACTTTTGGAACGTTGGATCAGTATGCGGTTCTGAAGTCTATCCCCATGTTTTGCTTTCATACTGGATGTCTGTCAGCAAGACGAGGAAGAAATGTTTCAAAACATGTTTACTGATGTTGTGAAAACAATGCAGTTAGTAGATTTATGTCAATAATGAAGGAGCAGTTTGCCGCTAGGACGTAGCGCAACGGGACGACGTCGTGGGACTCCTCCGCTGGACGGACAACAACGCCAACGGGCGACGATGAGTAAGATTCTTTAATGATAGTTCTATTAATTACCACAAACCAAATACCACAAATGAACCAAAGAACGCTCTGCCAGTGCGCGTCAAAGTGCGCATCTTAAGCAAATACGCAATCAACCCGCGCCGGAGTTTGGGACCACGATGGACAATGGAGCGAGTTTCTCTTTTTTTATGTGCCATTAGATTTAAGAGTTGTCACATAAGTTGTCCCCCCTGAGGATCCGATCTGTTGTGCCCAGATGTTAACATTTTCCTTTCAGGTTACAGAAATGCAACAGGCCATTTCTCGCACTTGTATCCGATTGTAACTTCCGGTGGGGCGAGCAATTTTTCCACGACGTTTATTCCAGGAACGAGAAAAATCGCACTGCCTCCATCGAAAGCCACAAGGCGAGCAAATGAGTTCCTCCGGTAAATAAACACTAAGAGGTTGTAACTGTCAAATGAGAAAAGAGTCCTAACCAAATAAAAAAAAACAACTACAAATAAACCAAACCGTAACCTGCGGAGTCCTACGAGTCCAAGGCCGAACTAGCAAAAGGGTGCCTCATTTCCTTCTCTGCGTGCTGCTGCGTCTGCGAGTAGTGTCTGAGATCGGAAAGAAGAACAAATAGAATACGATGCGCAGCTGAGGGATGGTTGTTTTGATTTTCTTGATGTCCTGCTACTTAGAAGACGACGGAGGGAGGGTCTCGTTTTTCTCTGAACAATGAACACGTGACGGATTTTTAGAATGCTAAGAAACTGTTAGTAGAATGGTAATAGCAACAAAGGCCTCTAGGGTTGGGTCAGAGGTCTGATGGTACAAGATGGGCAAGAGAACGTTTAACCATAACGATTCTTTTGAGTCGTTAGGTTCGTGGACAATACAAAAAGTATCCAACAGTTGACAACTCGATCATTGGATTTAAATTAAACTATCAAAAATTGACTGACGACTGCTCGTTTGACTTATATCGGTTGCTAAAAGGATGGTCCCAGTTGACCGTTTCAATGTATTGCATCCGACTAATTGCACGAACTGCTGCTTGGCATTCTTAAATTGCTGACCCCTCGCGCTTAAATTGCGTCTAGTCAAAAAATAAAGATCTGGATAATTCAATATTAAACATACCGAAAATAGCACTCAATAGATTAGGAGAGGTCAGGGCTTATATTTTATGAAAAATAATGCCGGTTATGCTAGAGAAGCTCTAAAATATGGTGATTAATGTAATACGCGACAGAAACCACAGTTGGGCGTTATAAGGGTTGAAATGAATTGGCACAAGTCTCGGAAACTACAGGGACTTCGTGTACGAAATTACTACCCAATGTTTACTGCGCTGAAAGTATAAGAACTCTCGTTCACTTTTTCGAAGGGGACGTATCAGCTTTTGTAAACAATGTATTTGATCGTTGATTTGACGTAACTGGTAGCTCGTCCACGCATACTAACATCACTATCAGGTAGGAGAAAAAATCCCCTATCTGTGGGTAGTGTTGGAATGCGTCGCCGACCTACCAGTTACGTCAAATCGACGATCAAATGCATTGTTTACAAAAGCTGATACGTTCCTTTCGAAAAAGTAATCGAGAACTATCGAAAATAAGGCTTCCATAGAGTATCACCATTCAAGATCGAATCCTTCAAAGTAAGCCATGAAAATGATTGCATTCTGCAGATAGTTCCAGATGAAAATTTCAAAGGTCCTATCTCTTTTGATCGGTTCTATTAATCTACATTTTCTTTTGGTAATCGCGGCTATGTAAACACATTTCTAGATGTAGTTTCGCCTAATGGTTTGGTAAATGAAGTGCTTATCTAGTGCACAAAACATTAAACATAGCAGGGAACGCATTTGCAGCTGAGTTCTGATAAACATTTCAGAAGGTGCTATCCGTCTTGCTCGATTCTATTCATCGACTTTCTCTTGTCTCAACTTCAAAAGCATCCCCTGCTGTGTTCAACGTTCGAAGCGCAAGATAATAATTTCCGCCATCAAACTGTGTATAATAGCACGAAATGTGTTTGAGTAGGCGTGGTTATCAAAGGAGAAAGTCGATGAAAAGAATCGATCAAAGAAGACAGGAACTTTTGAAATGTTCATCTAGATGTAGTTGATTCGAAAAATACAAGTTCTTTTTCAAGAGTGAATTTTCAAATAACCGTATCTGCTTTTGTAAACACAAAGATTCAAACGTCAATTTGTCGAAATTCTTAGCTCGCCCACGCTAACTAACAACACCGTTATGCTGGGGAAGTTTGGGATTTCGATAAATAAATTGACGTTTGAACCTTTGCTTACAAAAGCAGAAACGGCTGTTTGAAAATTCACTCTCGATTTGAGCATTTTAAAATGATCTGAGGACGTATCTCAGAAATCAAAGGCGACAATAAATTCTTCGTACAGGCCAGTAAAGCGATAAATCGACATAGGGTGAATAATGGCTTTTGCAGCCAAAATTTACACGTTAAATTCTTTAAGTAAAATATCCTACTTAAAAATGATGGAAGCTTGTGTAGTACAGGTATTGCTAGATAGGAATAACGGAGATCAATTCAATCAATGCATTTTTCGTTATTCTGGCCTCTGTGAAAAAAATCTATGGAATTATTTTAAGCGCAGTAGTGGGCCATTTTTTGACCCTTGTGGTCCTCTAATTGGCCCTATCTTAATTTTAAATTGTATTAATTCTTTACCAAATTTATGTCGATGCATGGTTAGGGCTTAGATTTTGCCATATATCTAAGCAAATAAAACCTAGAAAATTAATTTCAAATTTGAAAGTTGGAGCACTAGTGCCATAATTGGCACACTTACTCAAGTCCAGTTTGGTGGAAAACGCAAATAAATACGTGATTTAGAAATTCAACATGGCCTTTTACATACAGAACCATACGTTGAATAGTGCCTAAAATTATGACCAACTCGATGTTTAGGTACCCAATTTACTCTCATCAGCCGGTACGAGGTTTCATTGACCCACTGACGATAATAGATAACACGTCTTCTTCTTTGACTTTAGTACGTTCGTCCCTACTGAGACTGTACGCCGGCTCTTATTTTCTTCTTATTTTTCGCATATTGCGTGCTCTCAAACTTAGTGTTCCAAATGCACTTCCACAGTTATTAATTGAGAGCTTTCGATGCCAAATACCAATGCATGAATTTGTATATTGGGTGGCAAAGCCCAATGATACTCAATGCCCAGGGAAGTCGAGAAAATGTCCAACCAGAAAGATTCCCTCGACCGGACCGGGAATCGAACCCGCCGCCGCCGGCTTGGTAATACCGTGCCTTTACTGACTAGACTATGAGGCCCTCAACTTAGTGTTATTTGAGCGCGAGTTGTTAATTTAGGGCTTACTAAGCCTGTACAATGTTTGCATTAGTAGGGGAAGGAGGGGCATAGTGAGCTTCCTGTGCTTTAGCCTTCGATTTCTTTTGGTTCGAAAGCAATTAATTGGTTAATAATCATTGCAATAGTGATATTGAACTTACTGCCGATTAATTTATTTCGAACAACTAGAGGTTTGGGGCGGGAATGCGGGATGCTCATTATGCCCCACTTGTTCGCTATTCTTTTTAGGGCAACACAGCTTTTTGAACAATGACTTCTCGATTAGTTTTTCGAAGGGACGTATCAGCTTTTGTAAACAATGCATTCGATCGTCGATTAAGCTTAACTGGTAGCTCGCCCACACATACTAACACCACTATCAGATAGGGGAAATGTTCCCCTACCTGATAGTCGTGTTAGTATGCGTGGGCGAGCTACCAGTTACGCCAAATCGACGATCAAATGCATTGTTTACAAATGTTGATACGTCCCTTCGAAAAAGTAATCGAGACTTCTCTCGATGATTTCTAGGAATTCAAGTCACGCCCCCACAAACCTACATAACTATCGGGTAAGGGAAGTCTTCGCCCCTACCCGACGATGATGTTAATTTGCGTGGGTGAGTCTTGACTTCTAGCAATCATCGAGAGAAGTCATTTAGGCCTATTCTGCGAGGGCGTGTAGGGTGAGGTGAAAGTGAAATGATGGTGAAGTGACAATTGTCACCTCGGGAGAGGTGACTCTCCTTTTCCTGCTATATGGAGAGACACCTCACCAGAGGTGACAATAATTGTCCCTCACAAGTGACAGCTTGTCACCTCACCTCACACGACGCACAGAATAGGCCTAACATTATTAACAAAAGCTGTAACGTCCTAATTCCAACTCTATCAGGAATTGTGTGGCAAGTATTATTATGTACTCTATGCCCTGGAAAGTGGAAACAAATTTCAACCCGATAAAATCCTAGACCGGACCGGGAATCGAACCCAACTGCCTCCAGCCTGGTCTTGCTTCATTACCGACTGAGCTAAGGCCCCAAATGACTTAAAACTAGTTAAAACTAAATTCACCAAGCTCTACTCAAAACTCTCAAGTCTTCTCTGGTAAATTATGATCCGCGTACCGGCCTTACAGTAAATCGGGTACTGAAACATCCATCAAGGTGTCTATTTAACAAAAAAAATTATTCTTGAATTAACATAGGTAGTA